CGCGCCTTCCGGAAGCCCTCCCGGGCCTCCGCCGCTAACCGAGACACCGGACCGGAGAGAGAGCGGCTGCCTGCTGGCCCCCACCTCCCCTCCCCGCAGCTGCCTGGACGGATCGCACCCCCAATCTTAGGGATCCAGGCCCCCAGTCTTAGCTCTCTAGTGCTGCCGCTGTAGAAATATCACAAGGGGGTGGTTTTAACGAACAAAGACGTATTTTCTCTCCGCGCAGGAGGCTAGAAGCCTGGATTCAGGGTGCTGGTTTTTGGGGGGAGGCTCTCTATCGCTTTCTTGGCTGGAGGGGTGGTGTGGGGTCAGAGATCCTTTCTAGCTTGTGTTCCTCCGTACCTCGCGATCACATGGGTCTGCTCTGTGGGAAACTAACACCGAGGGTCCCTGGCTTGTGCCGAGGGATTCTGGAAAGCTAGGATTCCACGGTGGGAAAGCCACCACTTTGGTAAGTTAGAGATAGAGGCCAAGTGCATTTTCCTGCGTTAACTCTCATTTCCAGAGTCTGCCCTAAAAGCTGTGCTGCCTTAAAGTGAGCACATGGTTGATTCTGTCTCCCTACACAAGCAGACATCTCTATTTGCTCTATGTCTTTCCGCCTCGGCAGCCAACCCTCACACCTTTATCCCCCAGCCTGGTTTCAAATTGCTTGCCACAAGCCTGAGGTTTTGGCTCGGCTACATTTGGTCACTAAATTTGCCTCCACAGCTTTCAAAGTATAGAAAATAACCATGTTGCCCTCTAGCTCTTTTGAATTTAATATATAAAACAAAAGGGGGAATTGTGGGATATAAAAAAACATTTCCCCAGCGTGTCTCCCCAAAATATATGTCAGACCTAGGACACTGCTTGCAACTAGTGGTAAATGATTGTCAAGTTAGCTCCCTGAAGGTATCAGCCATCCAGAGCAAGCAGACCCTATTGTTTATGTCACCATAGGTGGGGTTCACTCCTGCTGTTAAGGACAGTGGATTGCTTTCCCTAGAGAGCTCAGAATAAGTCAAGCCACCAGCTCAAGGAAGATCCAAGGTTAGGCTGCCATCCCGAATCTAGGATCCTCCCATCCTGTCACATGTGTACCCCTAATCCCTCCTCTTCCTATTGCACGTACACCCCTAGATCACCCCCCTCTCGTTGCTGTATTGCCTATGGTACTACCCCTTCCTGCGACGTATGTTGTTACCTGTATCAGGGGGGCTTGCACGCCCCCCAAGTATGTATAAGCCTTGGTTAGAAATAAATATCTCTCTCCTCTGCCTGGGCTCTGCGTGAACCTGGCTGCTGAGATCATAGCCATCCAGGATGTGAGCATGCTACCATAAAATGTGTCTGACTCCTTTATTTTACTCTCTCTCCTATTTCTCTTATGCTCTGTGACTTTTATCTTTATACATTATTGCTGTACAATTGTGCCTATGGATCCGTGATGTTGGTCAGGGGCTGGTTTACCCTGACAAGAGAGATCAATTCCAGCCTCTGTCATTGAAGACTGCCTCCTGGACCAATCAAAGACAATCTACTCCTGGGTGGGATTATAACCACAGGGGTTAGGAAGGGGCCCTCGTGGTGCTGTCCCATAGGTGTTGGATTGCTAACCACAAGGTTAGAAGTTCAAATACCACTAGCGACTCCATGGGAGAAAAAAGGAGGCTGTCTGCTCCTGTAAACATTTTCATCTTTGGAAGCCCTAGGTAGTGTCTCTATGAGTTGGAATCAACTTGATGGCAGTAGGCTTTGGATAGGGGTTAGGACCTAGAACACAGTTCAGTCCCTAACACTCAGTGGAAGCAAAATGTGTTCTCCCTAGCCCCTTAGGAGGAGCTCCCTGGACCTGGCGGAATTCAATGGTGGACCCAGAGGAACCTCTACATCAAGTCGATTCTAATTCATAGCGAGCCTGTATACGTTTCCAAGGCTTTGTAAATCTTCACCACAGAAACCTCGTGACAACTGAAAAGTGAAAGTTGAAGGCTTGGATGGAAGATTCACTAGGAGAAAGTGAAGTGGACCAAAGCTAGCCAAAAAAGATAGAAAACTAGCAAAGCTCCAGGAACAGACAAAAACTGGGCTTTCAGGAACAAGGGACTCGGGATAAACTGAGTCACAGTTCATTAAGGAAACCTAACATTCCTAATCTGTATGCTCCTGTTTGTCAGGGTGAGGGGTCCCCAGCACTCGAAGGGGTCTTCAGGAGTGGCTTTACAATTGGGGAAAATATTAAAGACAGACAGACAGCGGGCACAGGGTCTCCTCGTCCCACGTCAGGACTGAGAGGGAATGTAATTTCCAGTGGGTATATGTATATATAATGGGGCCTACAGATCTTTCATAAAGCATGCACGTCATAAGCTAACATAATACATAGTTGCTGGGCAGTATCATAGCGGGTAGCAATAAACAGGCAATGAGGTGAGTCATCGTCTTGACATTGTGCTAGTTGAGTACAATCCTTCCCCCTCTGAGCTCTCCCCAGTGGGAGCTATCTCTGCTCAGTATCAGCAAGAGATATCAAAACAGAGCTTGCTACATTTTACAGTGAGTTGGCTGTAGAACCTAATTGCTCTTATCTACAGAAACACATTTAGGTACAGTGAAGTAGCCAAACACAGAAATGATTCATCTTATATGATGGCTCCTTTATGACAGTTCCTTTCTG